GGGGGGGGGGGGTTAGATACCATCAAGAATGGGTACAATGCTCACCAACTGTACACAAGCTACCCACTGTGAGCCGTACCAGACACACTGTCATCTATAGTACCGGAGGGAAACACTCAAAAGGAGTTCCACTTATTGCTCATCATCACTCAGAGTATCCTCTTGTATTGTATGGATTTCCTATGCTTGACCTGTATGCCCCATTGTTCCCCCGGTTACGAACTGCTAGTGACTCACCTAAGGCTCACCTAAGGTCAAGTGCACTTTACCAAAATCCACGCCCAGGGCAAATCCCGACACAAGAGCCCGGGAATCAATGGAGTGCACATAATTGGCTGTTTCCGGTGGTTTTTAATCCCTAATTTCCTAATCTATTCACAGAGGATGGATGGATGTAAGGTCAAGTGACCCGCAATCATCATGACTGTATTGGTGGACTATGCAATGTAGGTTTCGCATGCCTGTAGGTGGAGGAATTTTGTGAGAATTATAACATTTCCCACTTGTTCGAACATAAAATTTTCACGCAACTTATGAAAAGACATTCTCCGGTTCAAAATGTCACATTTTGTTTTTGCTAGCGTGCGAATTTCAAAAACATCATCAATCTGCAAAATCCGTTGAATTACGCTGACGCATCAAAATAGTTGAACCGTAAATAAATACATTTTTCTATGTCGATTGCAGAACGGGGCAGCAAACCCAAAGTTCAACACCACGAAACAAAGCCCCGCCTTCTAAGGCTCCCTAATAATATCCACAATAGCTGAGGCTGTTTTAGGTCTCATGTAAAACACCCGTTCATGTGGTAGGCGCCGAACATTTTGTTAACACAAGTGAAGCATTTACAAGCATTTATCTGGCTGTAATATGCCAGCCTAAATATATTTCAAAACTCACTTAACATAAATTAACATGACCCCTGACGTTTGTTCCCAGAAAACTTAATCTTCTTCGAATTCACATAGATACTCTTCACTTCTAACCGAACATATCCACATAAAAACAAGCATTCCATGGAACGGGGTCACATAAACGAGATAACACAACTGAAAATCTGGCATTACATAACTGGTACAGTGATGTATACAAAATCAAACAACCAAGCATACAATGATGAATTCAGAATAATCCAACGTTCACATCCAGAACCTGATATTTTTCTTCACATATAACTTTAGTGACAGGATTACAAACCACTTAAAACGTTTTTTTTCATTTAAAATAGTTTTAATTTGTTTTCCATTCGTTTCATGCACTTATTGTTCAGCTTAAATGTGTCGATCAGTCAAACACGTATAGTTATTCAATTTGTGTCGATCAGTCGATGGCATATAAGTAATACATCTCTTAACGCTAGGATTGTCAGTACTGTGTTCAGCCAGCGAGTCACCATTGACGAATTAGTTGTTTTGACATCCAATTGCAACCAGGAAATAAATGTGTTCGGGTCTCAGTTGGTGGGCAAGTGATTAGATCATCAAATTGTCCCGGGTTCGAACCGCTCCACCATCGCTAGTTTTTCCCATTTCTGTGTTTCCCAAGACGGCCCTGTATAGCCGGAAAGTTAACTTAACAGCTGTATATTCAATATACAAAAAGCAACAAACGACATTTAAAATTAAGACATTTACAAGATATATGTTGTCGTAGAATTATATTAACCATTGCCTCAATGAAGTGACATTGCCGTTAGACGCATACAGACTATTTAACAATAAGGATGAAGTCAGCACCAGCATTTTGTTTCTCTGCTTTTTACCTTGATGTTCTTCCTGTATTTTATGAAAACGGTTGGACCAACTGATGCTAACGAAGTGGTGCCGAGCACACGAAAAATGGTTTTCAAGGGTATATGAAAAATTTATATTCTTGCAGAAATGTAAGCTTCTTTTTAAGATGGCCTTGTACACACCATTTTCTTCCCAATCGAGGTGTTCACTGCCACTCTTCGTGCATTCCGATTTTGGTCAATGTGAAACTCATAATTTTCATGCCCTCAAATTCCAACTCTGGAGAAACGCAAGAATCGATTGGTTGTTTCAGTGATTTTCATCAGAGATGCAAATTAAAAATGCAAAATTATAGATTACCTTTAAATAAAGAAATTTTATCGGGTGAATGAAATTGGACGGTTTGCAGTAGGATCCTCTTAACCGACGACCAAATAACCAGTTCATACCGAAAATTTACATGGAATGATAGAACTCGTGCAACACGACCCTCATTTTGTAAATACATTTCCGTGGTTAATATTATACGCGTATGCCGATAGCTATAAGCAAAGAGTAATTATTCCGAGCTTTATCTCCCACTTCAATGCTCTCAGTTCTCTTGTTTGGATTTGTGCGACATTGAATTTGTAATATTTCAAAAGTTACAGCTAGAAAATAAGTTTATTTTAAGTCAGGTAACGTTGAATTTCATTCTTTCTAAAAAACGATTGCTGCTTCATGTGGTTTTTCATTCTGGTCAATATACACTGCAAATTGGTTATCATGTTCATTTGGTGTAGAATGAGTAAGCCGA